AGGTGAAGAGGTGTGGAGTGAGTGTGTGTGTTACAGTAGATGAGGAAAAAACTGTTCAAGATTCCTTCTATGTATAAGATTGGATGATGCACATAAGCAGCATGAAAAAATAATGGGAAAAATTGCTCAAGTACAAGAATAATTTCAGAGAACATTATAAATGATCAAAAAATGAGAAATTCCTATTCAGCCCAATTGAAAACAGGGAATGTATAGCCCTGGGAAAACTTGAGGATGGCGACTGTTAACTGTTCAAATATAGTATTTGAAACATTACTGCCAATTATTTTTTTGGGGGGAAATTTAACAACAGAGAAATTGAGGAGGATTCAGCAATGCTGATACTGGCAGATGAAATGATTGCATCTGTTTACATAACTCTTCTTCAACCTTGCATTATCCAGATGTGGTGGAGTACAGCTCCAACAAACTTATATTATTATAGTCATGATGCCTGCATGCCCTTAGTTGTGGGATAACACCTGCAGAAGACCCCAAATTAGAGATGTCATACTATGAGACATAAGAAAAGTGATTGGAAGGAAATTCTTCTCCCAGAATGTTTAATTAAATATGCTGCTTCCTGACATTCTGAACATGCAGGAGAATCTGGAACAGAAATGCATACCAAAATTTTACAACACAAAAATGCATAACTAAAAATTAGTTATGTTTGGATGGGAGATTCCTGCAATTTTTTAGTAGTGTTAGAAATTATTAAGGGTAGAAGGAAGAATAGTCCTTGTTTTGTATGTGCTAAGTGAGGAATATGAAACATTGTAAGCTCCAGTTGTTTTGAACTGCAGCTTCAAAAAAACAGCATGAGAAGTTCTTGGAGTTCAAAACATTTGGAATTTTGCGACTTGATATTATGATTTCCGCAAAGATTTTCCAAAAGATCTTCAACATGTAAAAACACTAAAATATAAACAGAGGAAAATTATTGTGAATAATAAAAGATTACAAGCTTCCAACACCTAACATCCACAATCTATATAGTAAAGAATGTTATTGTCATTTTTATGTTATGTTATGTTTGCTATGTTACAATATGATATACAATATATAATGTATTAATATTGATACATTCACACAGGTAAGATTGCCATTCTATCCATAATTCTTCGGAGAACTGACACTACCTTTAGTGCCAGGGTTTAAGTTTTTTCCTAGCCTAATTAATACCACTTATGGCTTTTTAATTTTTCTTTACTCCATCTTTGGCCAAGTTCTGGGGTGGCAATTCCTTTTCCCACTTACATTCATTTCTTGTTCAAAACGTTTTAACATTTGTTCCAGGAACAGCTGATGTTTGTTTGTTAATTGTGTCTGATTCCGATGTTCCTCTTTCTGAAGTAAACGTAGCTCCCGCAGCTCCTGGCGCCTGCAGAGTAGAACAGAAGTCAGAACAGAAGTGAAGTAGAAAGAACGTTGATCTTACCTGAACGTGTCTTTTCAGTAGAATAGAGGGAGGGGTTACACATGGGTTTTGTTACAGCCTGATTGGTCCCTAGACTGAGGGAAATTTCTTTAATATTCCTCCTTTCCCATTGGCTCCCAGTTTCCTCGATGTCGATGGGCTGCACATGGAAAGCCACAAGAAAGACCAGGGGACCTCCCGGACCACCCTCGACCAAGCGGCCGCCCGGCAAATGTCCTCAAATGGGGCCCTGGTGGCCCATGCTGCAGTGGTAGTGGCACTTCATATGGAATTGGCCATGATTCCTGCTGGGGGGGGGGCTTGACTAGATGCCTCATAAGCCGTCACTATGGTCTGTCATAGCCACCTGCCAATGGTGGCCGAGGACACCCTGGCTCCTAAAGACCCAGGCTGAAAGGAGACAAAGAGAGCCTCTGATCTGTGCAAACCCACCGTCCGCCTGAGGTAAATGTGGAAGGCGTGGTGGACATCCAGTTGGTGCAAGAGTCGCTCCCTTTCATGGGAAGGGGCCGGACAAAAATTAGGTGAAATGATCTCCTTTGCCCTGTGGGAAGGAGTGTTTACTTTTGGGAGGAAGGTGGGGTCCAGACGAAGGACCACCCTATCTTGATGGATTTGGCAGAGATCATCCCTAAATGACAGGGTGCCCAGTTCCGAAATACATCTGGCTGATGTAACTGCGACTAGGAAGTCTATCTTGAGGGAAAGTAATCTAAGGTGGACTGTTCGAAGGGGCTCAAACGGAGCTCCTGTCAGTGCCTTGAGGACAAGGGGCAAGTTCCAGGTTGGAAATCTATGTATAGGGCGAGGTCTGAGGTTCGCTGCCCCCTTTAGGAATAGCTTAATCAGAGGGAGGTGAGATAGGGTGGAGGGGCCCTCCCCTCCAAGAACGGAGGACAAAGCCGCCACTAGCTGTTGTGGGAGAGGCCACCATCCAGACCCTTCTGTAGGAGCTTGAGAATGTGGGCCACCGAGGCATCGGTGGGGTTGATACTTAGTGGTTACACCACCTGACGAACGCCGACCAAGTGGAATTGTAAATCTGAGTGGTCAATGGACGTCTGGAGGCCTCAATGGTTGTTATGACCTTGGAGGACAGGTTAGCGTTCCTCAGGAGTTGCTGCTCAAGTGCCAAGCGGTCAAGTGGAGCCACTGAGGCTCTGGGTGGATCAGGACCCCTTGGCACAAGATGATCTCCTCCCAAGGAATCCTCCATGGAAGCGATACTGATAGCTGGACGAGGTCCGCAAACCAAGGCCTCCTGGGCCAGCATGATGACATGCGCCCTCTCTGTCACTACCTTCCTGAGGGTCCCTGGGATGAGGGGAATAGGGGGAAAGGCATAAAGGAAGCCTGGTAGCCATCTGCTCCTGAAGGCATCCGTGCCCTCCGCAGTTTGGGTCTGGAAGTGGGAGAAGAATCTCGGCAGTTGCGAGTTCGCTGGGGTAGCAATTAAGTCCGGGGTGCCGAATTTCTGGCAGATCTTCTGGAATAACTCGGGTAGGAGTTGCCACTTGCCGTTGTTGAAGGTTGCCCGGCTCAGCCAGTCTGCCTGATGGTTGGACATGCTCAATATGTGTTCCGACACCAGTGATGACAAGTGTCTCTCTGCCCATGAACCAATCTTCAGGGCCTCCAGCCAGAGGGCCTGGGAGTGTGTATCCCCCCTGATGGTTTATGTGGGCCTTCATGGCTACAATGTCTGTCAGGAGAAGCACGTGACGTCCCACAATCAAGTCCTTGAAGTGTCGGAGGGCCAGGCAAGTTGCCTTCAGCTCCAGCCGATGTTGTGGCGGACGTCTGAAGCAGTCCAGTGAGCCTGTGCCAGCCTGGAGTCCATCAAGACCCCCCCAACCGAACAAGCTCGCATCTGTAGTCACTGTTACTCTGTTCGGCTCCCAGAAGTTACAACCCCTCTGCAGAGCTGGGGAGAGCCACCACTGGAGGGAAAGTCGGATGTCTGCTGGGAGATGGATAATTTGGAGGGAAATGCTCATCTTCTTCCTCTGAAATGGGATTAGGGGCCACTGGAGGGCACATAAATGCAGGCGGGCCCAAGGGACTATCCCTATGCATGAGACCATCTTGCCAAGTAACTGAAACAAGGTCAGGATGGAAATTGACCGACTTCTGCGAACCTTGATTGCCAGCTTGCGGAGACTGGAGACTGGTCTGGAGAGAGCTGGACTATCCCTGTCAGTGAATCTATCACTGTCACTAGGTGTAGTATTCATGTGGATGGAGAGAGATGGCTTTTGGAGAAGTTGACGGAGAACCCCAGGGACTGGAGGCATTGGATGGTAAGGTGAAGATCGCTGACTGCCTGAGACTGTGACACTGCCTGAACTAACACGTCGTCCAGGTAACATCAGACTCTCCCCAATGTCACGAGGACCTTCGTGAAGGTGTGAGAAGCTGAGGCCAGGGAAGGGAAGGGCATGGTATTGATAGTGGAGGTTCCCGTGTGAGAACCTCAGGTATCTGCGGTGGGCTGGCAGAATTGGAATGTGAAAGTAGGCCTTGGTAGGTCTACCAAGGCCAAGAAATCCCCCCGACAGATTCCCTGGAGGATGGATCTGAGGGATGACATTTTGAAGTGCCTGTAAACTAGATATTGGTTTAGGAGCTTGAGATCCAGAATTGTCCTCCAGCCCCCTAGCTCTTCAGAACCATGAACAGGTTGGAGTAATGGCCCAACCTGCACTCTGCCAGTGGAACAGCTTCCACCGCTCGAATGTCGAGAAGATGATTTATAGCCAGATCTATCATGTCCCAAGAGGGAGGGAATGTTCTGAAGAGCTGCGGGGATGGTGGTGGATAGGAACTCCAGCAGTAGGCCATGCCTGAAGGTGGACCTGACCCAGGCATCCGTGGTGATCCGGTCCCACTGATCCGCAAAGTGAGCCAGGCGGTCACCTATGGGAAGATCCAAGTTGGAGTCATTTCCCCCTGCGGAAGGGACAGCCACCCCCTCCGCAAAAGGACCGCTTAGACTTACCCTGGTACCTGCTACGGTTCTGGTAAAACAGACATTGGAATTGTCTTTCTGGTCTAAAGGAGTTGTATCTCTGCTGGTGATCATGCTTGGGTGCCCTATAAGAGGGCCTATGATAGGAGGCAGGGCGAGAGTCAGGGCGAGAGAGTTTTGGCATTGGATGGAAGGACCTTCTTCTTATCCTTATTTTCTATTAGGATAGGATCTAGAACTTCCCCAAAAAGATTAATGGCTGTGTAAGGAGCTGCTGCCAAATTCCATTTGGCCTTATTGTCCATCTGCCAACTGCACAACCACAACAAGCATCAGGAGGTAACAGACGTAGCCAGAGTACTGGAGGCAAATTTAACGGCATCCAGGGTTGCATCGGCCAAGAATTGAGAGGCTGCTATGATCTTAGTTATGTCTTGATGCAGCTGCTCATCCTGGATCGGAATACGGTCCTGGAGTTGACGGAGCCACATAACGGTTGTGCGATTAAAGCAAGAGGCCATCACTGCTGATTTGATTGCCCAGGCAGAAGTGTTAAAGTTCTTATGCAAAGTAAGTTCCGTATGGTTGTCCTCTGGCTTCATCTTATCAGCCACATCTCCAGAGACTACAGAGGAGGAGGCAACCAGAGCTGCTACTGGTGTATCGATTGCTGGCAATTGCAGGGCATGGGGAAAAGCCTACTCTACATTGTAGAAGCGGCGATCGCTGCTGACCGGATTGGAAAAGGTGGAAGGATGGGCCCACTGGTTCTTTATTACCTCAAGGAACAGGGGGGAGCCGGAATCTCCTCCTTGTTTGTCGCAGTGTTAGAAAACATAGCCAGATTGGGGTCCCTAGGCTGAGTGACTGTCGGATCCCCAGTTTCAATGTTAGTTGTTTTCTTGGCTTTGTATAACAGAGTTTTAAACATGGCTGGTGGAAAGAGACCCAGAAAGGCAGGGGGATCTGGAGGAACTGAATCCTCATCCTCTGAGAAGCCCATGTCATAGTGATTGTCCTCCCCCAAAATGGAACCTTCACTGACCATGGAGGGGGAAGGGGGCCTGGGGTGCTGCTACCTATGAACCCCTGGGGCCCTGCCAGGGTGAGGGGCTCTGTCTCTCTGGGACATGCTGGCGATACCTCGTGAGATGGGCATAGAAATGAGACGTTTAATACTTTCAGGCAGGAGATCTAGGTCATCAAGATCCTCCTGTGATGGGCCTGGCAATGGTGGATCCTGGGGGGCTAACCCTGCAGAGGTCTAGAAGATCTAGAAGGGCCCTCCAATGGGACCGTATCCCCACCCCCAATGTCTCTGGGGGAGATAGAAGGGGAAGGGAAAACTCCCTGCCTAGAATACCTATGGGATCTAGACGGGGAGACTGAAGGGGAAGAAGGACTGAACCCTCTAGGAGGAGAGCCCAAATGGGTGGATGAAGGCCTGATGGGGAACCTGGATCTGCTGGCTGAACAGGGCCTGGTGGTCTGGGCCTGCTTTTCTGCTCTGGCTATGGTCTTCTCCAGAGCCCTCTGTCTCCTAAATTCATCCCTTGTCGCAGCTCTGGAAGGGCGCTCAGCCACCATAGGTTTGGAGGCCGCAGCCCTGGTTCTGGGCCTATCTGTTTGGTCTTCCCTGCCTTCATTAGAGGCCTCAAATGGGACCTGAGGAGGCTCAGATATTGCTGCCATCGTAACACTCACATGTCCGGATTCAAAGGCCATTGTAGATTCCACCCGTGCCTGGGCCTATGGGACTGCGGATCTGAATTCAGGTCAATATCCTGCCGGCCTCGATTAATGGCCATGATGTAGGAGACTGGTGGCCACACTGTTCCTCGGTCAGCCTTCCGCACATGGCACTGTTTAAAATGGCCACTGGAGCCTCTGAATGTGCTGCCGAGAAGCCTGGAACAGCTGCGACTTGCCTTTTAATTGTTGCGGCTCATCCTTTATTCGCTGCGGCCCCATGCTGACTTGGGATGGCGTGGCAGAAGGCAGTAACTGAGTTAAGGAATCTTTGTGTGCTCCAACGAGGTTCTCAGCGCCAGAAAAAAAACTGCGGAATCTCCTTTTTAAATCTTGCAGCTCGCAGCAAGCTCCAGAGAGCTGTGCTTCGAAGCCCGTCACCCCCGCTGGCCCGGGGATCAGAGCAGGGCTCCTGGTCCGCGGAGTGGGAGGGCAATGCCCCAAAGGGCTCTCCCAAGCTGTGCAAAGCAGAAAGACTGCTCTTGGGCCCGCAGCTGATATAATTTGGAATTTAGAGAAACCAAGCAATTGAATTAAATAGCCAATTATAATGAATTTATAATAATTTTCCTACCTAGGAGCCAAAAAAACAGTGCTTGT